AGTAGCGGGCAATCTCTTAGAGTAGCGGGCAATCTCTTAGAGTAGCGGGCAATCTCTCAGAGTAGCGGGCAATCTCTTAGAGTAGCGGGCAATCTCTCAGAGTAGCGGGCAATCTCTCAGAGTAGCGGGCAATCTCTTAGAGTAGCGGGCAATCTCTTAGAGTAGCGGGCAATCTCTTAGAGTAGCGGGCAATCCCTCAGAGTAGCGGGCAATCTCTCAGAGTAGCGGGAAATCTCTCAGAGTAGCGGGCAATCTCTCAGAGTAGCGGCATAAATAATAGAGTAGCGGCCCTGCTATGCTAAAACGCTTTGGGGAGAACACTGCAGTATATAGGCAATAGAACTTATTGTTTTTCTGGCAAATTTGTGAACTTAAACTCAGTAAATATGCTCAAAATAGTGAATTTAAGTACCAGTAAAAACAAATTATTTTACAATATTACCGGTATGCGTCGGGTTAGGCTGTATAATTATTAATATTCATTACTTTATTCCTATGCATTTGTTCAGCACTATCAATGTATTAAATATTTGATTTGACATTGCTTTAGGTCCACGTAATCGTGTGCGATCCTCCATGACAGATGAAGGCCCAGCAAAGAACCAATTATGTGGTGGAGCTACGGCGGCAGTCAGTACATCGTGTTCCACTACCTCATCCTATGCATCTAATCTGTGTCAAACACACAGTCATTATAGTAATATACTATCTGATAGAGTAACACTTATAGTTGACAATACTAGATTTGTTGTGAATCCTGCAATTTTTACTGCACAGCAACATACAATGTTAGGAAGGTAAGTTTATATCGCATTACTCAGTATGTCAGTAGCATGAGTTGTCAAAAATTGCGCTAACTGTGGAGTCTTCTGCCTGGGTGTTGACTGTACCGAGTTTTATATAAGAAAGAGTCCCATTTGTAAAAAAGGATACAGAGTGTATTGGTAATTCCTCTTCACTTTCTCATCAGAACTAAAACGCTAACACAGTCCCTGGTGATGACTTCCTTATTTTATTAGGCTGTGCTAGCTACATATACAAACAGTTTAATAAAACAGAAAGCCTAGTATTGTTGATTACTGTAGAATTCTGAACCCAAAATGTCTTTTTTTCCCAGGATGTTTTCCTCCCTTGAGAACAATTGGACTAGACCTAATGACAAGGGAGAATATGAAGTAGCACAAGGCATTTCAGCAGCAGTCTTTTCAGCAATACTTGTAAGTTATTATGACAGATTTTCTCTAGAGCGTACATTCAACAAAAATTATTGTCAATTACATATAACCAGTAATTCATGAGCATTTGGCTTTGGGTTGTGTTTAAAAGTGCTGTAAAATTTAGTCATTAGGGAAAGAGTGAAAAGTCTTAACTTGATTGTAAAATAGGCATCACAAACAAAACAAAAAATATTCATGGTTACATAAAATATCTGTCTAAAAACTGTGTATTGAATTTCTGCCGACTGAATCAACATTGATATATAATATTCTATTATTTATAACTTTTTATGTTGCTGTATTTTGTAGGATTACTATAAACATGGCTATATACGATGTCCTCCCAGTGTCTCAGTGCCTGAATTGAGAGAAGCATGTGATTACCTTTTAATACCTTTTGATGCAACTACTGTTAAATGTCAAAACCTCAGTAAGTAATAAGTTATCAACATTATTTCTGACTAAGTGGTCTACATTATTTCTGACCTAAATGATCTACATTATTTCTCACCTAAGTGGTCTCTATTATTTCTGACCTAAGTGGTCTCTATTATTTCTGACCTAAGTGGTCTCTATTATTTCTGACCTAAGTGGTCTCTATTATTTCTGACCTAAGTGGTCCACATTATTTCTGACCTAAGTGGTCTACATTTCTTCTGACCTAAGTGGTCTACATCATTTCTGACCTAAGTGGTCTTTATTATTTCTCACCTAAGTGGTCTACATTTCTTCTGACCTAAGTGGTCTACATCATTTCTGACCTAAGTGGTCTACATCATTTCTGACCTAAGTGGTCTACATCATTTCTGACCTAAGTGGTCTTTGTTATTTCTCCCCTAAGTGGTCTACATTATTTCTGACCTAAGTGGTCTACATCATTTCTGACCTAAGTGGTCTTTGTTATTTCTCCCCTAAGTGGTCTACATTATTTCTGACCTAAGTGGTCTACATTTCTTCTGACCTAAGTGGTCTACATCATTTCTGACCTAAGTGGTCTTTGTTATTTCTCACTTAAGTGGTCTACATTTCTTCTGACCTAAGTGGTCTACATCATTTCTGACCTAAGTGGTCTTTGTTATTTCTCCCCTAAGTGGTCTACATTATTTCTGACCTAAGTGGTCTACATTATTTATCTATTACCCAAGCGGTCTACATTATTTATTTATGACCTAAGTGGTCTACTTTATTATGGCCTAAATGGTCTACATTATTTCTGACCTAAGTGGTCTACTTTATTATGACCTAAGTGGTCAACATTATTTATCTATTACCTAAGTGGTCTACATTATTTATTTATGACCTAAGTGGTCTACTTTATTTATGACCCAAGTGGTCACATTATTTTAAACCTAAACTAGTATATAGTGAATATTATTCCTAACTTAAGAGGTCTACCAACTAGTATTTAACTATGCATTATTTCTGTTTTCAGGATGCCTATTACATGAACTTTCAAATGATGGTGCAAGAGCTCAGTTTGAAAAGTACTTAGAAGAACTTATTTTACCATGTATGGTAGCCAGTGCTAAGGTACTGTGCAGCGCGTGTTCGAATTTCATGTAAATAAACAATGTATTTTACACATGTTGTATACGTCGCTATGAGTCACATATCGAACAGGACGCGGCATGACAACTACCACCCTTTAAAAATATTTACAGTCGAAGTATTCATCATTATTATCTTTATTGTTGAGCATGGGCACTAAGGCGGCCAAGTATGGTAGTAATTAATTAAAATAGAATCACTTCACTGGATACAGACGTAGAAACATCGCTTAATTATGACTATGTACAAGCAGGAGTAAAGGTATAAAAAGTTCCAAACACAAAAAACAGCAACGTTGTCAGTTGATTGCTGTCTAGTATGCTGCTATGTACGTCTCAAGATTATTACATGATTGGAACAACAAAGCAATTTTATGAAGCTGCACTGCTCAGCTAAATTCATGCTTTTATGATAAACACTAGACACACTAGCGACTGTGACCTGTCATGATTGTCATCGCAAACATTTTGTTAGATAACTTTGCTATTTATCATACAGCAATTTATACAATTGAATGAAATTAATGAATGAAATTAATTATAAAATAAATTATAAAATAATTGCATCATGATCTTCTATTTACATTCAACATGTCAGTGACCCCAATATAAGTTTTAATTCTCCTGTTGAGATTGGTTTCACCCAACTTGTTCTAATCATGTAAAGATCTCCAGACATGCTGAGCAAACCAGCAAACTTAGCTGGTAATGTTGTTGTTTTGCTGTCCGAAACATCATAGCAGTGCTAGTAATGTACACTCAGGTTGATATAATCACTGTACGTCCATACTTTACAGTATTTTTGTCATAACCTTGTAATATTATAAGGTTATTACGCGAATAATTTGCATTTCCTAATATTGTAGGATGAAAATACCCCGTAAAATACTGCAAAATTACTTATGGTGTTTCGGTGACAGATGTATAATAATATCAGTTCAAAGTGTTTAACAGTGGATAGACTGATGTAACTAATTATATGTGATCTATGCTTACAGAAAGGTGAACGTGAGTGCCATATAGTAGTATTAATAGAAGAAGATATTGTGGATTGGGATGAAGAATTCCCACCACCGATGGGAGAAGAATATTCTCAAAGTAAGTCTTCAGTTCACTTAGTAAAATAATGATATTTAGCTACTTGAATTTTGATGAAATAGGATTACTGCTTTGAGAGGAACAGCTTCAGAAGGGAAAAACATTTATAGTTCCTTCTCGAAAGAAAAAAGCATGCATCATCTGACAAGACATTTCATTTTTCTAGGGTCCACAATCCCCAGTAAACTCAACCACCAAATTCACTGGCCTGATGCCTCACCAAAACAATAAATTATGTGCATCGTCCAAATTGCTTGGTTTCATGAATTTGTAAACATCCTCCTCCCATCCGCCCACCCCACCCCATAAACTGTGCATGATTCTTCCATGATGTTACATTTTCGACTTTTAAATAAATAGATCTAATTGCATGTGTCCAATCAGACTTGCCCCCAGCATACATGTGTACATAGCAATAGATATAAAACAAAATGTGGGATGTCCCACTGCCAAAGCAAGCATACTTCCAAGGTATTTAGACCTATTTAATAAGATGAAATGTTTATTACTATATTTTTAGCTCCGCTGTCGACTTTGTCGAGCGGAGCTTATCATATGAGTGATTGTCTGTCGTCGTCCGTGTCAATGTTTTACTTTTTCGACTTCTTCTTGAAAACTACAAGCCTGAATGCTTTGATACTTGGTGTATATGTACCTTGGGTAGACCTCTCTCAGATTTGTTCATTTCCATGATGATATCTTCAATTCTCTAATTTTGGTGAATATTTTTGCCATTTTTAGTAAAAAGTGATATTTTCGACTTCTTGTTGAAAACCGCAAGTGCAATTGCTTTGATATTACATATATAGGTACTACATGTGGACCTCTCTCAGATTTGTTCATTTTGTAATGATATCTTTAATTCTCTAATTTTGGTGAATATTTTTGTCATTTTTGGTAAAAAGTGATATTTTCGACTTCTTGTTGAAACCGCAAGTCCAATTGCTTTGATACATGTACTATTCATATTGTTCATTTTCTAATGATGTCTTTAGTTCTTTAATTGAAATGTGCATTGCTAACAGCGGAGCTATCTCAGCCGATAGGCTGCTTGTTTTTA